AGGGAGGCAGGGGAAGAAGGGGAGAAGGCAGAGACCCCAGGCCGTGTAATCAGCAGCAAGGTGATTGTGTGATGTGTCTTTTCACAGTTGAGTTAGATGTGCCCCACCAGTTATGATGGGAACCCATTTAAATATACTTTCTTGATCCCAAAAGTTCAACTATGTGGACAGTGGTTACACTTGACAGGATGATTTGTTATAGCACAACATATATTTTAAGTGGACAAAAAAAATTAGTATCGTTTACAGTATCTTAAGATAAATTGCCTTTGAATGGGAGCTTCCTTTCCAGTACTTTGAGGTCTACAAGACGTATCTAGAAAATTTACTACTGTGGAAAATGAAGACTGCTTAAATCGAATGGGAGGGAGTAGGGGGAGGGCCTGTGGTTTTTCTTTTTGATTAATTGCTGTAACACTGTCCTTCAGGCGGCTGAGGGAGTTTCATGTTTTCTTTAGACATCATTAGGCGCCGGGGCTCTTGCAGGACGACTTTGATGCTATATGAATTCTGCCATTTTGCTAGCACTGATATGGCTCTTGGGTCCACCAGTCCATTAGAACTATTAACTCCATTCAGATTAATTTTTGTTACAAATCTTACAAAGGGGGGTGCTTCTGGGTATTTAGGTCCACATTCTATTTTAAGGCTGTATATTCGGTTTTCATAAATTGTTCTTGGAGGCCCAATTATCATCCCTGTCCTTCTTGTAAGTGTCATGTCTTCATCATCTTCTAGACCCCAGCTAACTGTGCCATCTCCTACTCCTTTCTGGCCTTCTTCCAGTTCTTCCAATGGTCGAAAATTGCGAGGGACTTTTACTCCCGAGCCCGTGGTGGCTGCCATCTTGCGTCGCTGTCGCTCCTACTTTTTTTTTTTAAGATTTGTTTATTTTTGAGTGAGAGAGAAAATGCAAGCGGGGGAGGGGCAGAGAGAGAGAGGGAGACACAGAATCCAAAACATTTTACCTACTCATATCCCCACCTCTTAACCCAGATCAAAGGTTTAGAGGAGCCGGGTCGCCTGGGTGGCTCAGTTGGCTAAGCACCCGACTTTTGATTTAGGCTCAGGTCATGATCTCACTGTTCATGAGATCAAGCCCCATGAGATCGAGATGACCCTCTTCGCTGTCAGTGTGGATCCTGCTTAAGATTCTCTCTACTCCTCTGCAGCTCGTGTGCACACACTCTCTCTCTCTAAAAATAAATAGGGGCGCCTGGGTGGCTCAGTCGGTTAAGTGTCCAACTTCAACTCAGGTCATGATCTCATAGCTCTTGAGTTCGAGTCCCACACAGAGCCTGGAGCCTGCTTCAGATTCTGTGTCTCCCTCTCCCTCTGCTCCTCCCC